GTGTCAGACCGTTGGTGAAGACATTGTATGGTGGTGTCAGAACGTTGTAGAGGACACTGTATGGGGGTGTCATAGAAGACAGTTTACGGGGTCATGTCGGACCGTTGTAGAAGACAGTTTATGGGGTCATGTCGGACCGTTGTAGCAGACAATGCTGTGACAGTTGTTGTGACAGTTTACGGAGTCTTGCTGGACCCTTGTAGAAACTAACCGGAATCTATGTCGGGACAGTTTACAGAGTTTTGTCGGACCCTTGTAGCAGACAATGTGGTGACAGTTTATGGGGTCATGTCGGACCGTTGAAAAAGTTGCACCCTCATATATCGAGCCCTCAAAAGTCGCGCCATTTTTCAAAAGGCGTGCCATCAAAAGGCGAAAAGGTGTGTCGTGTGTCCAGGTTGGCGTCGAGCGGCGCATGATGCGCGTGGCTGCCTTGACTATTTAACCAAGGTTGATGCTGAGGCTGAGGCAGACAAAAAACTTCTGAAAATCCTCTGAAAAAACTCTTCCTTTGCTGAGAGAGAAACTCTGTAATACTCTATAATCAACCCGTCTCTTCTTCGTTTTGCTGAGAAAGATACTCTGTAACACTCTGTTGCCCAGAAAAATGGCTTCATCTTCTCGCGGTCTGCTCACTCTCTTTCCCGACCTCAACGAGTCAACAAGAGAGATAACTGGTGCGGTGGCACTGGAACCTCAACCAAGCGCCCCGGAGTTTGCTCCGTTGAACTTTCCTATGCGGTCTGTGGAGCAAAGAATTGCAGTGCAGTCGGATGTGGAGGCCAATCAGTATACATTGAAGTCATGTGTGGAAATCATGACTGCGGTTACAAATTTGTCGAACCGGCTGCAGAGTAGGACAAATGAGGTGCAGCAGTTAAACGCCCAACTGGCTCTGCTCCAACGCATGTATAAGGATGCGCGAGCAGAGATAAGTGTACTAAAGGCGGAAAACAAGGAGCTGAAGCGGAAGGCACCGTGATGTTCCGATTTGGAGGGCCGCCATATGCTGCAGTGGAGGAGCAGGGAGGAGGCAACTTGCTTGGTGATCTAGGAAGCACGGAGGCAACACCGGCAAGGGCCGCTCAGGAGGGAGGCAAGAAGAAAAGACCGGTGGCAGAGTAGAGAAGAAAAAATCCCACCTGTGAATGTGGTTGTTTGTTTGTATTTTGTTTTGTTTTGTTTTGTTTTTTTTTGTAAAATTGTGATCGGTGTTGATCCCTGAGTTTTTTTTTTTTTTTTTTTTTTTTTTTTTTTTTTTTTTTTTTTGTGGAAACATGGTGATCGGGGTGAACCCCGACATGAATAAAATGAGTTTGGTGTGCAGATCTTCCTGCGTCTTTTTTTTTGTTTTTGTGTTTTTTTGTTTTTGTTTTTGTTTTTGTTTTTGTTTTTGTTTTTGTTTTTGTTTTTGTTTTTGTTTTTTGTTTTTTTTTTTTTTTTTTTTTTTTTTACGGAAGATAGGATGATGCTCACGAGTTGTATAATAAGAAAAATGGATAGAAAAAGAAAGATAGAATAAATAAAATAAAATAAAATAAAATAAAAGTAGGAGTAGTGAAAATATATTATAAGAAATATATATATATAGTTAAATAAAAGAAAAGGGAAAAGAACGTGGGTGCACATGGGTTTGGTTTGATGATGCATTAGTTTAAGATGATGCATTAGTTTAAGATATATATATATATTAAAAAAAGAAATGTGAGATGGAAATTGGGTTGGTGTGCAAAGCCGGTGATGCGGTTTTGTTTTCAAAAAGTTGGATTTAAAATAAATATAAAAAAAGAAAAAGAAAGTGGAGACAAAAGTGGGAACACATGTGCTGGTGTATGGTTTAAAAAATAATGAAGCATTATAATAATGAAAACAAAGGTAAAGAGTGGTTTAAAAAATAAACAAAGAGGATGGGTCCTCTTGAACTGCTTCACACGCTTCTTCACAATCTTCTTGGTAATCAAAGGAACAGCCATTGTTTCTGGTGTCGACGCTGCGGAGAGCCTTGCTCCTGTGAACCCTAAAACTGCGAGGAGGATAGATAAAACTGCGGAGAGCTGGCGGTTCTCCGTCGAAACCAACGACGCCGGAATCTGGACACAGGTCCCTTCCAGGTGCCAAGACTACGTCCACGATTACATTACCGGCGTTCGCTACCGTTCCGACTCAGAGATGGTCGCCAAGACGGTGGAGTTCGCCGGAAACGGCAAGGACGCCTGGGTTTTCGATATCGATGAGACTTTGCTTTCTAACCTGCCATACTACGCGCACCACGGATTCGGACCAGAAACATTCGATGAAGTCTCTTTCGATGAATGGGTGGATTTGGCTGAGGCTCCTGCTTTACTGGCGCTCCTGCTTTACTGGCAAGTTTGAAGTTATACAAGGAGCTTCAAGAATAATAAATAAACACATAGAGAGAGAAATTTATATGTCAAATGTAACTAACAATCTAATAAATTTTATATTTTTATAATGAGATTACTTACACTTGCATGTCAATAATAACGACATCACCGTTACATTCACAAATTTTCATAGATAATATGGTTATAATAGTCTCTTTATTTTCAATCAAAATAATCGTTATTGTTCCCATAATTTTTAAAATGTCATTGACATTTCACTCTAATAATATTTTGTCAAAAAAAAAACTGTATTATTGATTGTTGTTATTTTGATGTATTACAAGATTGATAAATTACAATTCCTATACAATCTATATATAGAAGAAAATGTGGTAGTAGGTGTAGTGGAGGTGATAGTGGGTTAGGTGAAGTGGAGTGTGTGGTGAAGTGGAGGTAGGTGAAGTGGAGTATGTAGAAAAAAAAAACTGTATTATTGATTGTTGTTATTTTGATGTATTACAAGATTGATAAATTACAATTCCTATACAATCTATATATTATGTATTATTGATTGATTGATATCTTACAAGATTGATGTATTGATGTTATTACAAGATGGTTATTACAATTCCTATACAATCTATATATAGAAGAAAATGTGGTAGTAGGTGTAGTAGAGGTGATAGTGGGTTAGGTGAAGTGGAGTGTGTGGTGAAGTGGAGATAGGTGAAGTGGAGTGTGTAGTGGAGTAGGTGAAGGTAAAGATGGGAAATTCTAACAAGATGCATAAAAGCTCAAAACACAAACACAGCCACAAGGGCACAAACAGGAAACAACCATAAAGGCCACCAAACACATCAATAGATAACTCAAAACTAGCCTAAAAGAAAGTTCTCACAAACTGAGAGTTTAGGATACCAAGAAAATAAACAAATAACGCAAAAGGGAAAAACACACAATCCCAAAACTAACACCTGATAAAATTAGCTTTGTGCCCTAGCATGTTGGAGATTTTGGATATTTTCCTTAAGTTTCCTTCAGGTTACTTCCCTTGAGACAGAACTATCATCATCTGCCACTTCCCCAACCGTACCTAGGATATTGAATTCATTTCTATCTTCAATATCATCTTGGATTCCCTGCTCTCTTAGAGAGCAAGAATTAAGAATATCAAAATAGTTTGAGCAAGAAGCCAAAAAGGAAGATCTTTCCATGGTGGTTGCTCTTTCCATTCTTAGCTGTAATCTTTGTCCATTTGTTTGATGTTTCTTTACAAGGCTCACGTCAAACCTCTTTCTCTTTCCATTATTGTCTTAGAGGTATATTGCTATTAAACCTGGGACAAGCTATGGTCGAGTGACCATAGAACTCACAATGGGAACACCTTTGATGTCTCCAATTTGTTTCAACTGTCATTTCATAAGGCTCCCCATATCCAAGATTAATCTTAAATGAATCCTCTCCTAGATACATTTCTCTCTTGCAAGTCCGAGCTAAAGTCAATTATAATCTCTAATCATTTGTTTACTATTTGTGTAATCCATTCTATGCCTCCCGGTATGTTTTCCAACCCTGTGGAAGTGTACCATCCAACATCACAAGGTAATCTTGTTAAGAATTGACTCTTCCTAACCAGGATAGATGAGACACAAAATAACAAACAAAAAAGATAAAATGAATCAATCAAATCACACACACACACACAAGAACACAAGGATTTATGTGGTTCACCCCAGAATAAGGCTACGTCCATGGCTCCTGCAATTTTCATTATGATCAGAAAATAATACAACTCTCTTAACCTACAAGAGGCGCCCCCTTCATCTATTTATAACTATAGAATTAGGGTAACGCAAAAGCAACAGGGAAATTACCTAAATACCCAAAAAATAAAGGCCAGGGGGTAAACCCCCTCAAACCCCCCTTCCCTTGTGGGAGGACCCCATTGGACCCAGGGTTCAATGAACAGTACTTATCCAGGTCCACAGACCCAACAAATCTAGCTGTGAAAAAGTCACACAGTAAAAGTCAAATTAGGAATAACAAAAAATATATATAGTTAATAACATAAAAAGTTTTGAACCTCTAAAATAAATGCATATCCTGCAAAATATTAGTCATCCAGCAATTGTCTATATATTGTGATGGTTAGAGAAATCGTATATCAATTATTTCATAGATTTCACCAGAATGTACCAACAAAATGTATGATGAGCTGTCTATCATCTAGTTACAGCATCTAATCCGGTAATTGCTACACAAATTCCAGTCTATTAGAATGAATCGTGTTCCTCTTACAAGTCTATCTAAATTCAAAAAGAAAACTGATTGTGACAAAATAATGACATTAAAAATATATAGCCATCATCATTGTTTATGGGTACAATTGATAAACTGGGGGAAAACATACCTTAAGTTTTGTAGGCCCCACCACAAACAGTAGAAGTACTTTTCAATAAAACTTGAGGAGACAACATTTTTTGTCACTGCATTTTCAAATATGCCATAATTTAAAGTGGTATTGATTTTGGGGTCACACTTCTTAAACACCATTGTAGTTTCTGCCCAGCTCATGCGATTATCATGGCTAAAAGTATCACAATCCAAGTAGTGAAGTAAGCATTTTGTTGGGGCAGATTCCTTTTTGCAAACTGATTTCCAGCATGACGTGTATTGGTCAACAGATAGTAAGTACCACGATGCCCCTAAAACCTAGGAGAGCAAAGTGGAATCAGAATGCAAACATAATTATGGAACTACAAATACAAAAAAGTGACAAATAGTATATAAATGGTCAATGGTGCGACCTTCATAATGGTTTTGAATTTAAAGAAGGTTAGACTAGCTGATAATTTAAAATATAAACAAGCAAGTAGAAGTTACATACATGGCTAGCCAACATGTACAATAGCAGATTATATGCAGCCCCTGCCCAAGCAGTTTTTGTGACGACTCCATTTGCTTTAATTATTTGTGAACTTAATGGGAAAATCAGATATAACCTGGGAACATATTGGAGTAGAACAATCAGCGCTAGGGCATTGTTATCATGATCAGCTTGTGGACTTGTTTCTGGTATAATAAACCAGATGACAATCTGCACAAAATTTTTCCAGTTAATAAAAATGTTGTCCCTTTTCTCCCCTTGAGAACTTTAGAACTGACCAATAAACAGGTATAAAAAAACACTAATAATAGTAAAAATAAACATTATATTAAAATAGGAGTAAGTGTGACAATATGAAGTCTAATTTATAGAAAAAGAAATTTATACAGAATGACAACGTTGTAACTGATTAAGCACAGTTTATCGCGGTTTTCCCTCTATTCTTTGACGCAGGGTGAACGATACAGTATTAAGGAGATTCTTCTTCTCACAGAAAGGAAATTTTATGGCTTTCTAATAAAAGTAGTTAAGTTCTGGATTTATTGTCTTTCTAATTTGTTTGTATGAACGGAAGGTTAAAAAATGAGAACAGATAATTAATTTTTCTTCCAAATATGTATGTTAATAATCCACCTCCACAATGGCAAGTCAACCGGTTATCTCTAGTTGGGTTTTGCTAAGACCTCTACCACCAGTCCACTAATAAAAAGATAAATATACAAAGTAGTAAGGAAAGAAGCCTTTTTTTTAAGTAACCAAACTTCATTCAAAAGGAGGCATTAAGGGAATGCCACCCATATACGAAAAGGTCGAACTAAACAAAAAGGCCCTATACACCTCTGTAAGTATCAAAAATCTCTATAAATATAAGAAATGATAAAGAGAGGGATCACTCTCCCTAGAATCCCATCTATAAAAAAATCTAGCAAAAGAACTCTTAATTCTATCCAAAGGACTGTCTACACCATCAAGAAAACAACAGTTCCTCTCCCACCAAATGATCCACATCAAAAACAGAGGGACCAAAAGCCAAATCATCCTCCTCTTCTTGCCCACTTTAGCCCCCACCAATACTGAAGAAGATCCACCATGCTCATTGGGAAAACCCACTTCATGTTAAACCAAGAAAGAACGAAGGCCCAAAACTCCCTAGTCCCTCCCACCAACAGGGAATAAGAAGGTGATCCGCCAGCTCTTCATTTCGCTTGCACAAGAATACCAATTCACAATAACTTTCTTTCTCTAAATAAGATTACCCACTGTGAGAATCTTGCCCTAAATAGCGCACCATACAAAAAGTTATCTATCCTTGGACAACGAAGAAACCTTACTCCCTGCAATATGATTTTAGCTATAACAAAAAAGATAAAAATAAATAAATATGTTCCAAAAAAGGACATTGATCTACCTAGAAAATAAGTAAAGAGGACCAATCCCATCTAATTGCACATATACCTAGAAAATATGTAAAGAGGACCAGTCCCATCTAATTGCACACATCCTGGAGCTTTGGAAGGAACTATGAGTCCATAACTCTAATCAGTTAGGTAGATTTTAGGTAAATTATTTTGTACATCAAGAGCAATGTCAACAAGCTTTAACACCACCAAATCCACCCAGCATGGATGAGAGTAACAAAAAGAAAGTTTTAACATGCATTTGACTTAAACAAGTCCAAACTAAATTTCTATGCCGCAAGGAACTGATAAGAATAAAAACACCAGTGTCAGAATTAACAATAATATTAAGAGGAACCCAATTCAAGACAACAGATCAGAGCCACGCATTCAGCCAATAGGACTAGTGCAACCAATGCTTATAATTGCCAAACAAGGTAAAAAGCTCAGCCTCTACTGAGAATGCTATGTTTAGCCACTATGGCTCTCTCTCTCTCTCTCATAAATAAATAAACGAATAAATAAAATTTTACTTGAAATCATTATAAACTTTGCATATATTCATTTAAGCCAAACTTTTAAACTGTTCAACAAAGGGACTGAATAAATTACAATGCCAACTAATTTCAACAGCTGATCATGCTACATGAAAGACCGAGATGAAGATGCGACGTGACGAAGATGGACTAAGATGATGATGAGCAGTGAAAACGAAGCTTTAACCTAGGTCAGAGAAATTTGTGAGGAAGGAATGGGAATGGTTTTTGGAGAAGATAACGAAGCTCTAATGTCGATGGTGCAGATAATGTTGAAACCCTAATTCTGCTGTTCTCCTGTTCGTGAAGATGTTGGATGTTTGGAATGTAACTCAGACGTCGGAATGAGTTTGTTTCTGTGTTGATTTTGGCAAGGGTATTTTGGTCCACAAAATAATTAAAAACGCGCGCCAAGTTGTTTTAGGGACTTGATGCATGACTATCTTTTTGGGTGTCCTTTATCCTCTAAATTGTTATTATTAAGGACCTTAAAAAAAATCCCCCAAGATTATATCATGAGATAATCAATAAAATGAGTGAGGTATTTTATTTGGGGGCACTTACCAATTAGTCCTATTAATTAGACTTATTTACCTACAGGTCCTAACTGATAAATTTATCACTATAAAAGCAAGAGACTAATAAATTTATCACTATAAATTTATGCATAAAAACAAAGAGATTGATAAATTTATCACTATAAATTTATTCATAAAAACAAGAGATTGATAAATGTATCACTTGATAAATTTATCAATAGGATTTAATGGGTAATAAGTCTCAAAAGTAGAACCTATCGGTAATTTACCCTTTTATTTGGTTAGGATAAAATAAAAAGATAAATAGCTACAAAAAAAATAAAATAAGCTAAAAAAATCAATAAGATAAAATGTCATAACCAAATCATAATTATTTTACTTTTTCTCTCACAAAAGACAAAAAAATAAAAAATAAAAAGTCAAAAAGCCCATCTCAAACGAGACTTTTTAGCCCAGACTATAGCCAAAAAGTTAAAAAGCCAACCCACTTTCCAAACGAAAGCTTATTTTTGCCTGAATGATGAATAAAAAAATAATCCAAAAAGGCTTCATTCTTCTAATACCACATTACCTATGGTATTATTTAATTCTCTCATTGTTTTTTTTTTTTTGCTATTTAATTCTCCATATCAATACTACAACTATCTAAAATTTAGTTTGCAAAGAAAATACCGAATTAGATTATTAGGTGAGATCAACATGTTCCTCACCTTCAGTCTCATCTCCCTTCTCCCACAATCAAATACTGAATTAATATTTTAATGAACCCACATATTTCCTCCACATTCAATTCGTCTTTTAGTACTTTCTTCGAAAAGGGTCCTTTCTTCTAATACTCCAATCAAACATTCCCCAATGGTATACTATCCCTATCTTATAGTAGAGGTCTTCAGTTCAAACATGCTGTGCAGTGTTGGAGCAATCCAAATTTCTTCTTTACTTTTGTTTTTTAGATTTAGGTTGTATAATTTGTTTCAAAATTTTGAAAAATATATATTTTATTAATTTTTTATGTAAGAAACTATTTTTAATTGTCATAAAAAATTATTTTAAAATCAATATAAAATGATTTGTGTTATTTATTTTAAGGAGACTTACCGTCACTTCCATTGATCAAACTTATTTATCTATAAGTTTTATTTTTGTTATTTTACCTATCAATATCTTAAAAAAATGTTGAGGCAAAATAAATATTTTAAAACTTAGGTGGTATTTGATTCATTAAAATTATATTAAAAAAATCTATTTCCATATTTGATTAATTAAAAAAATAATAAAAAAATACTGAAATCATAAATCACCTTAAATGATCATTCACTACTCTCCCTATTCTAGTCCATTACGTTAAATTTCATCCTAATAAATCAATATTAAAAAAGGGTATATAATTTATAAGCATTTAAATTCATCATATTATCCCTAATTCAAATTTTAAAAAATACCTTATTTAATTTTGAGTTTCAAAAACAAATTTTTGAATTTTCAATTCATATTTTTATATTTTTAATAATTTTTTACAATATTTTAATCAATTTTTTTTAAAAATTTTTTTGGTCCACTCTCACTCACTATCTCTCTCTCTCTCTCTCTCTCCCTCCCTCTCTCTCTCTCTTCACTATCTACTTTTCATAACAATCAATTTATGTAATTTCAATTTTGGGGATCAAGAGGTATAGTTCCATGGGTGCCCCTAGCGTGTCCTCAACGTGTCCTTGTGTGTCCTCAGTGTATCCCAATGTGTCCGTAGCGTGTCCAAAGTGTCTTAGCATGTCCGTGTCTATGTCCGACATGTGTCAGACACCAGTATACAAGAAATTGCATTTTTCGCAACGCAACAAAATATGTTGCTAAAAGGAAAAACTCGTCGACAAAACGTTTTGCCGACACACGGAGCTACGTCGGCAACCCGTAAGTAAAAGTGAGTCGGCAAAACTTTTTGCCAACGAAGTTATCATTGCGTTAGTAAAAGTAATGCCTTTAGCCACAAGCATAGTCATCGGTAAAAGCTTTAATCCGCCATCGGCAATTTATCTTGTGTCGGTAAAAATAGTTCAAATATGATGATTGTGTGGCACTTTTTCCGACACAAATTTGCGTCGACAAAAAATATACTTTTAGCAACACAATATGGGTCGGTAAAAGTAAACTTTTGGCAATACATTTATCGACGAAATATTTGTCGAGAAAGCTTTACTTTTTGGCAACAACAAATTTGCATTGCCCAAAATAATTGAAAATCATTTGTATTTTTTATAAGATTTATTTTACAGAAAATTGATTGTTGCTAAGAATGCAAAAATCGCTGGCATATATATATTGCATATATGACAATAATTTTCTACAAAATGCTCCCCTATGATCCTTGTTATAGCACCAGGACCAAGGTAGAATACTAGTTGTAAATCCAACTTCTTTGGCAGCAACAACACAATTTTACAGTAACAAAAAATATTACATCCATATCACTATTACTTACCTCAACTACCCAACCAAAAATTATACTATAATCTACTACACAACCCGTAAGAGTAGGTACTAAACTAATGGATATAGTAGCAGCAACATCAAAGAGGAATGTATACAAAAAGTATTGAAAACTGTAGGATGATCCACTTCACTGACACAGCATGGTGAAAAAAGTTCTAGCTACCACCAAACTTGAAAGCCAAACCATTGAACATCAAAATGACCAAAGAGCATCAAGTAACCCTGTCCATTATGAAGCAGTAGATAAGCATTACCAAGATGATACAGGTAAAACCAATCATAAAGCAACAAGAGAGCATTTTTTTTTGGGTGGGGTGGGGTGGGGTGGGGGGGGTGTAGCCCGACTTTTCGCCCTCCTTTCGGAAAGCGAATAGCCCTACAGTTCGGACTCTACCTGTGGTTCTAAATCTGATTTCACAAGAGAAATGTAAAACAGTGGAAACACAAAAAGAGTCTGAATCCGACAATTCTTTTGAAAAATCAATTTTGAATAAAAAATGCAAATGGATTGTTTTGTCAGATTTTACAGTCGTCACCTAAATATTTTTGAAAAATTTAGGAAACCTAAGACTCATGCCAAAGGCCATTAGTCCGTCATCACCAAAGTTGTCTTGGCTCGGAAAATTAGGTATGAGAAAGGAAGGTCATGAATTGAACACCCCACTCACCCGATCAAAAATTGGCCTCTACTAATCATGATGTGATTTTTATTTACATTATATGCTGTTGTTTTGATTATTAGCTATTTTACTATGTGATGCGCACACAAGGTATAGACTAATTTGCAAGAATTGAAACGTTTTGATTTCATGTTTTGTTTTTGAAAAGAGTTCGAATGTGCCACTTGAAAAAGTGAGCTTAAATATATATTAATCAAATCATTCCAATTCAAGCAAGTAGCATTCATCCAAAGACATTCAAACAGTTATATCATTTAAGCAATTAGCCTCATGGAAGTATGCTTTGACATGGTAATACAAACATTTACGCAATATGCTAAAGCTCAAAATAGCTCACCTAGTACTCCGAGCCAAAACAAAGCAAAGCAAAATAGTTAGAAAAATATGCATATTCCTAATTTAATGCAATATGATTAATATAATGCATACATTATGTATTTTATAGGCTCAGCTATGAGCATGGCATATGATTCTATTCACGACATACGATAAAGCACATATTCAAGCAATGGATTTAAACATTTGATATTGGGTTAGCATGATGAACCGAATCTTTGGATGCATGTAAGACAATGAATACAAAACATAGAGTATGCTATTTTTAAATGATGCTCTATTCTAACCATCGTAAGCAAGTAAATAAAAGGGAGAAAGACGTGGGGTTGAAAGACATATAACTTATTACATAATTGCCCTCGTGCAAGAGGCTGCGAATCAAAGTCCGAAAGTCCTAATTAAACTACTTATTACAAAACGGAATGAATAAATTAAAGCATTAACTAGCTAACTAGGCTATTACAACAAGGGTAATCATGACAAGTAATCTAACTATCTAAGTTTAATCAGCTAATAACAAGTATAAATAAACAATAATTATTAACAACAATAATTAATTGCAACGATAATAAACAAATTAATTACAACAATGATCATGATGTAAGCAATGATGCGCAGGGGTTGCATGCACGTGCATAATGTCCAAAAACAGCTCTGTCTGCCCCAAGCTTGCTCTGTTTCATCTTAGCCACTACCCTCTGTTTTCTGCAAAAAAACACTGCCGACCAAACATTGAGGACCAGTCAGCCCTCAATGAAGCCCGGCCAGGGCCTAAAGAAGGCCAGCCATGCCTCAATTTCATGTAAAATTCTGTTTTGTGCTCTGAAGTGAAAACAATGCAGACAGAGTGTTCTGGACTCTGTTTGTCCCTCTCACACTTCTCTGTCATGGGAAAGCCTTGAGAGAAGGTTAGAATTATTTTTAAAACCATCAATGAGCAAATTGATTGCTTGATGATTTCGATGTACTATTTGGACAAAAACTAATAAATGAAATGAACAACAACCACCCCTCCCTCCTATCATGAAGTGAACTCAAAGAGGAAGGTAGAGACGCTTTAAAGTTCATCCAAAACATCATGAATTGATGTTAGACGACCCTTGACACAATGGATCCGACATAACGTCCAGCCGTACCCCAAGCAATATAACTTATTTTCTTTATGTGAGTTGGTTCATTTTAAGCCACATTCATTAGTCTTTAACATCCTTTAATCCATTAAGTCTAAGGTGATTGTTATGTCCACTAAGTGAGAAATATGTCAATCAAGAGGTGATTCTCAACGTGAAAAAAAGACTACACCGTTGGCAATGAACCTCCGTAGAGATTAAGCCATTAAACGTAAATCGCTAGTTCACGTTTTAAATAACCGTCAACCGATTGAAACAACTCTCAAATGAAAGGGATGAATGGTAAGTTGATTATTAAAATGAGGTTTTTAAACATGGAAATGAATTGAAGAAAAGCTTATAACAATATACTACATGCTATGCATGTAAACTTATGAGACAGCAACCAAGCTAATCAAAGCATGAACTATTTAAACAACTTAAGACAGCTCTAAAACAGCCCTAAACAGATGAAAATCAGTGGCTAATAATGCATGAAAAGAGCCTAAAAGGTTAAACAACAAAGAGAGAAAACAAGACTAGTAAGCAAGAACAAGGAGGGGTGGCTAACCCCTCCACTTTTGAAACCTCAAAGCATGATTTTTAGCCCCTTTTTTTAACTCTGAAAATCAGTGTAGAGAACAAAGAAAAAGAGTGTAGAAGTAAGGGTTTGAGCTATAGATAAAGGTGTAGAAAGAGTATAAATTCTCTCTATCCTTTTGGTAGCTCTCCAAACCCAAACTCAAACACTTAGAATAGAATCAAAGCAACAAGAAACTACAAGAATCATATAGCAAATGAAAGAGATGAAAGCAAAAGGGAAGATAGCAAGCTTATACCTCTCAAGGAAGTAAGCTTTTTGTTTGTGATCAAACTAGGCTCCAACACACTCTCAAGCTTGAATTATGGTGTTCAAGGCTCAACCAAGGTTCCTAAACTGAGGTATGAAAGTGTATATGGTGTATGGATATAGGTTCAAGGTGATAGGTTAGCTCAAAGTGTTGCTTGCACAAGAAGAAGGAGAAGAAGGAGCTCTCAATGTGGTATAGAGGCTTTCTTGAAATTCTTCAACCCTCAAAACAGAGGTATATGGTCGTTTTAATAGAAATTGAGCCAAAAATATCATAAATATCTTCAAAAATGGACAGTTGGCGACCTCCCGCCCAGAACAGTGTTTCTCACTACCAAGGCCCGGCCGGCCCTTAATAGCCACGGTCGGCCCTCACTGAGGCACGGCCGGGCCTCAATGTGTTCCCCTGTTTTTTTTGTTTCAGCCTCAGCACAGGGTGGCACAATGTGTAAAAAAGGATTTCTTAGGTATAATCAATGGAAATATGAAAGGTTTGGGGTCGTTTTGAAGCTTAAACAAGGCTCCTTCGTTGAGACCTTGAACCATGCACAATACCATTTTCATCATTGAGTGTACCGGACAAAGCGGTCAAGCCTTGCGGGCGGTCAAAAATGGGATGTCCACAGGGGGGTAAGTAAGTCATAAATTAAAACGAAATTATATACAGATTTAAAAGAGGTAGCCAATTGCAATTGCATATACTTATCAATGAATATAAAAATTTATCCTGCAAAAATAAATAAATAAATAAAATAAAAAATTGAACTTTCATATGCACCTAAACATTCAATATTGCAATGATTTATAACTTTCTTCAGTTTAGTTCATAATCAAAATCTAATGAGCTCATACCAAAAACAGCACAAAAGACAACTAGAGAGCTAATGAATCATCAAAACAAAAAATTAATGGCAGAACAAATCATGAAGGTATCCAACAATTATCGCAATAAATCAAAATTTAAAACGATGGCAAAACTTGCCTTCAACAATGTCTACAAGATTCAAACACCCAGACTTGTGCATTGCTTGAAGAGTTTGAGTAAGTGCCTAAGCCAAAGTAGGCTTTTTCTCTTTCAGTTTTTCCTATTGATGTATAGGATGTGAGATTTTGTTTGACTGGCTATTTTAGCCAAAATCCTAGTTGCCAAACAAGGCCTAAATTAGATAATAAGTTCTATTAAGTGCACAGACAAAAGGTTCTTCCATGGATTTGAGCAACTTTAACTTCAGTCAAGCCACAAATTTTATTAAAAAAAAATGAAAAAAAAAAAGAAGAAGAAGAAGACGAAGAAGAAGAAGCAAACTAATAAGTAGAACACAACTAATTCAGTAGAACAAATAACATTAAGTTGTCAACCAGGTACTGAAACACTAACATGGATCCACCCAAGAGGAAAAAGTGAATATTTGTCTTGGACTTCAAAAATTTCTTCTTCATTCAAGGTCTGACACTGAACATTAAAAAATGTATTGATAAGTATCATTCAAATTATCAGTAGCTACAAGTAGAAAACTGCCATCGTGAAACCAATGGCCCACATGGACACTACATGACATGCTGCAGGTATGGGGCACGACTCGACATCGATGACACACACAGAAGCTTTCTATAAGATTTGATGCCACTGCTGTGGAACGGCTATGACTGAGAGTTCCCTCAAACTTTAAATGTTTTCACAACGACAACAAAAAAATTTCTTCTACTGTTATTTTATTTTTTTTCAAATATCAAGAGACTAACCATGATATTTTGCCCATGTTTTAAAATTGCAACTTATCAAAAAATATTTTCATCCAAACCCTTAATTTAAATTGCTTTCTTTTATAACCACCTCACCTCCATTTTAGGACACATTAACCAGTAAGGAATGTTGCTTCATTTGTATCAGTGGCAAAAGCATGATAAATATATCAAAATGGAAAATGGGACTATTCTGGCATTTTTAGATATCATATCACTTAATCTTAGAACCTTAGTTCTACCAAAAAAATACCAAAGTTGTACTCAATTTGCAATTAGCAATTCATTAATTTCAAGTTGACAAAATCAAAAACTGACAAAGATGAAATATCAAGACAGAAATATACAAGACTCAGAATTAAAAAGAAAAAAATAGAAAAAAAAAAAAGAAGAGAAAGCAGGGGAGAACTAATAGCATCACAGTAATTAACACACTACAGAAAAATTATCTTACCGAATCTAAAGTTGACTCTTGCTTTGGAACTATCGGTGTAGTGATATGGAACACCCTGTTTTTCTACAAAATGTGATCAAGTACATAAGTAACCACAAGTATAAAATATCAAAACATAGTTATCATTTACTTTTTGTATTCACAAATCTTGTACCAATTACCAATGAACCAGCAAGAACACCACATGTTTCTAAATTTTTTGCAGTATTTTCTCGTGCAAACAAAACCAAACAGATAAACTAAACTAAATAAACTATAAACAGAATCATCCTGAAATAAACCACACAAAGGAATGTTCGTTTGCCACATGAGGAAACAAGAACATTCAATAGAGTAGCCAAAAACAATACAAAATACACTTGCACAACCCTTAAGAGAGAAAAAGCAAGCAAAACTAGAGAATAAACCCAAGAAAAGCCTTGCACAAACAGTACTAGCAGCAACTACACATATACAACTACAGCTTTCTTCCCTACTCTCAAGTTGATGCTTTTCCTTTCTCAAGGTACTGAAACACTTACATGGATCCACCCAAGAGGAAAAAGCGAATATTTGTCTTGGACTTCAAAAATTTCTTCTTCATTCAAGGTCTGACACTGAACATTAAAAAATGTATTGATAAGTATCATTCAAATTATCAGTAGCTACAAGTAAAAAACTGCCATCGTGAAACCAATGGCCCCACATGGACACTACATGACATGCTGCAGGTATGGGGCACGACTCGACATCGATGACACACACAGAAGCTTTCTATAAGATTTGATGCCACTGCTGTGGAACGGCTATGACTGAGAGTTCCCTCAAACTTTAAATGTTTTCACAACAACAACGACAACAACAAAATTTCTTCTACTATTATTTTATTTTTTTTCAAATATCAAGAGACTAACCATGATATTTTGCCCATGTTTTAAAATTGCAACTTATCAAAAAATATTTTCATCCAAATCCTTAATTTAAATTGCTTTCTTTTATAACCACCTCACCTCCATTTTAGGACACATTAACCAGTGAGGAATGTTGCTTCATTTGTATCAGTGGCAAAAGCATGATAAATATATCAAAATGGAAAATGGGACTATTCTGGCATTTTTAGATATCATATCACTTAATCTTAGAACCTTAGAACCTTAGTTCTACCAAAAAAATACCAAAGTTGTACTCAATTTGCAATTAGCTATTCATTAATTTCAAGTTGACAACATAAAAAACTGACAAAGATGAAATATCAAGACAGAAATATACAAGACTTAGAATTAAAAAGAAAAAAAAAAAAGAAAAGAAGAGAAAGCAGGGGAGAACTAACAGCATCACAGTGATTAACACACTACAGAAAAATTATCTTACCGAATCTAAAGTTGACTCTTGCTTTGGAACTATCGGTGTAGTGATATGGAACACCCTGTTTTTCTACAAAATGTGATCAAGTACATAAGTAACCACAAGTATAAAATATCTAAATATAGTTATCATTTTCTTTTTGTATTCACAAATCTTGTACCAATTACCAATGAACCAGCAAGAACACCACATGTTTCTAAATTTTTTGCAGTATTTTCTCGTGCCAATCTCAAAAAATCATCCATCATTTTTACTGGCTGCAATGAAAGTTAAATGAAACTAGCATCATGTTCAGCAAGAATAAAAAATCAACATAAAATGTTATGTAGGCATAAAATTGTAATCAAAACAGGAGGTGGAGAAGGTTGCCTAATATTTCCCAATACAAGAGGAGCATTACTTGCTTCATTATTTAAGGGAGGACAAGAGTCATCAGCTGGAAGTGACTGTCTTCCATCATCCAAAGACAGCAATGATTCCATGGTAGATTTACCCACTTCTGACTCACCATCTTTTACTTCCTGAAGGTCATATTGTGCAACCTCCTGATTCAGGATATAATCCAGGATAATACCAGGAAGAAAATGTTACAAAAGGGCCAAGTTTGGGGGAGAAACGTAACATAAAGCAGCAATGGGATAATTAGATAGTTTTGGTACACAAGAATGCCTCAAGAAAAACAAATTAAAAGTATAAAAACAGGTAGTAACAGAAGTACAAGGTTGCTATAGCCCTGACCTTGAATTTTCATTTGGAGTCAAGTCAGTATTGCTTAGATAGTGAACCTGCATTGTACAATGGGATTAAACTTAAAAGAGTTCAAAAATCAATACAAAATGAAATGCAACCTGACAAATTTTACCTTTATCTCTGGGCTAGGCCCCAGCCATTCACCCCAAAGACCATTTGGGCCCAAAAAATAGTGCCTAGACAAGGTTTCCTTATTTGGCAGAGGTAAATAATTAAGCATACACATACATACTTTCTTGCAAAGTAAGCAATTTGAAAGAAAGCTAGTAACATTCTCCTTAACATACCTTGAAAATCTAAGAAGTATGATATACAAGTCTATAACGTTGTTCTCCTCCCGATAAATACTTGCCTGGACGTTAGAAATTTCCCAACAGATAAAGTACAGTACATCAGAAAGATAAGAGGGGAGGAAAATCAACAATATGATTACGACTTTATTTTGCTTAGGAAATTATATACTAACACTACCAAATTCAAGAATGTTTATGCTACAGAAGCAATCTTCAATATAACAATAGACGAAATTTTTTAATGTACTTGAACAAGTAGAAATATATTATTCACTTCGGAATCAATATCACTTTGCTAAAGCATCCTTTTATGAACAGAAGTGTCATTTGATACTGCTACCCTCCAGTGAACATACTTTCATTTTTTATGAATATTCCCCAATTGTCTAGGTCCACAGCAAACAGAACATAGCCATCCAAAGAAAAAAAGTAACTGCATGAATATCTGCATCACTAGAAAAAAATAATAATAATATAAAGTTACAGAAGCACATCAACGATCACAGAATAGATCCCCATATGCTGGATGAAACTTCTTTTTCTCTCATTAGTTCACTGCCAAAATGCAGCTTTACTTATTACAATGAGAACTATATCCAAAGTGAAACTATTTCACTGCCGAGAGACTATTTCGCTGAGCAATTACAAAGTAAAAAAATAAATAAAAATCCCCAATGTATGACTTGATGGGTATTGCCCAAAATCTAATAAATAATCATCAAAGGGAAGCAAATAAATTACTTACTATTGCAATCAGAGCATCAAATTTCAATGAAAATAATCAGAATACATGAGATAACATACACAATCAATGAGTAGCCATACATGAAAATACATAGACAATCAATGGATTAGGGCTTTGAAACTAATGAGAGAGAAAGGAAAAAGAGGGGGAAAGGTATCAAACCCTAAAATCAAACCTATTTACAACATGAAACCCATAAAACTCTAGTAATGAAACCACTTCAAACAAACCCATTTCAGAAATGAAGACAAAATTAAACTGAATGGATAGAATAAACAACCCTAGAGCAAGAGTTCACAGTTGGGGAAATAGAAGAAGGGGTAGAGAGAGAGAGACCGAGAGCGAGAGCGAGATAGAGAGAGTGAGAGCGATACAGAGAGGGAGAGAGCAAGAGAGCGAAAGGGAGTGAAAAAGAGAGCGAACCTGTTAGCGGCGGTGGTGGTGTTGATTTGTGGCGTACGAGGACCGACGGTGCTGAGGATGCGCAGTCATGAGGTTTGTTGGTGATTGATCTGTGTGAGAGAGAGGTTTTGTGGTTGTGTATACACAGAGAGGCATGTATGAGACAGAGGCACGAATATGAAATCATTCCGTCTATAAAATTTAGAGCTTTAGCGACTAAATGTTTTATTTGTCGGAAAATGTTAATATATAAGGAGTAAATAATTTTATACAGCAACTACTTTTTTCAGTCACCACAACTGAATAATTGCCGACTAATATAATTTTTGGTTGCCAATTCCATAATTTTTAGCCACTAAATTTTTTTCTCATCAAATTTGCTCTCCAAAAGTGTAATTTCTTGTAGTGGCCCAAGCAGTCTCACAACCGAAAAGGGAGCACCGTTTCCAAGTTGAAATCTTGCCGCTGCTGAAGAATGAAAATCGTACAGATTGACGAGGGGTTTACCTATCGTTTGAAAAAAAAAAGAAAAAAAAAAGAGGGAATTTTGAGAGGAAACTTTCCACGCCTCAATTTTTAGAGGCAGATCACCAAAAAAATATAAATAAATAAATAAATAAAAACAATTTTAGTTTTTTTTTTTAAATTAAAACTAATTTGAGAAGTATAAAAATCAAAAATATATTTTTAAAAATTATTTATGACCTCCTAAAAGACAAAATTATACAAAAACAATAAGTATTTTTTTATTTTTCACCAATTTTATTTTTTTTTTTAGTTTTTTAGAAAAAAAAATTCTAAAACAAGTTTCTGAAAATAAAACTAAACATATTGAAATTGATAATCTAACTACATTCTTTGGAAAAGTTTAGATTATCTCAAATTAGCCATCTCAACTTAAGAGTGTGTTTGGGCTTGATAGGTTCATTTTGTGATCTAATTCGACGATCACTTTAATTTTACAATTCAATAACTAGAATATTTAAAACTCTTTGAAAAATTATAATAAAAACACAAATCAAATCACCTCATTTCAGCCAAACTTTTACCGACGAATAGTGTTATCGTCGTTAAATGTTTAACTCTTTGCCCACGCCAACTTGTCGTCACCAAAGTAAGCATACTAATAGCGACACTTATTGTGTTGCTAAAAAATATTTCGCGTAACTAAAATTTTTGAAATTTTGGCGTCAACCAATAATTTTGACACCTAATGAATGTTATGCTTTTTTATCGACGGTAGTAAATTACGTTAGTAAAGGTCTACTTTTACCAACGAAATTGATCACTGTGTCGCCAAAAATATAGTTTTGGCTATGAAAATTGACGTCGTCGCCAAAAGTGTAATTTCTTGTATGCTTCATAGCTTTACGTCATTTTTAATCAATTTTTTATATTGTGTTCTATCTAATATTTTGAAGGCATACATTTCATGGAGTGGCTTTACTATGGTATACAATGGTATACGATACCAATAGGGCATGTTTGATTGGTTAGAGTAATAGTAATGGGATTAATAATCCATGGGATTAACCATTGGATTGACTGTCCAACTCAATTAGGGCTTGTTTGATTAGGTAGACTATAACATAGGATTGTGATTATTAATTCATAGGGCCCACATTCCATTGTTTGGTAGCAAATTTTATTATTCGAATGAGATTCCAATAGTCATTCTATCCAACAAAATTGATGATTTTTTTTTGTTTAATCTTACAACTTATAAATATAATTGGGATAATGAATTTTTATATCTATTGCAAAATAAAGTTGGGTAATAGGAAATTATGTATCTCAGCTAGGGGTGGGCGCGGGTCGGTTGCAGCCACGGAACTTCCAATCCGCCATCCGTCCGCCAAATTGGCAGATTAGAAAAAATCAATCCACATCCGTCCGCCAATCCGACGGATGTGGATTGAGCGGATTGGTGGATGGATGCGAATTAGTTTGGCGGTTTAAAATTTTATAAATTTTTAACATAATTCAACTTGTGCACTTTCTCCACAAAAAAAAAAAAATTACAGTCAATGACTTAATAGAGTATTACAATCACTGCATGCCTCATCCAAAGACAGAAAGTTTGAAACTTTATCCACATATTACAATCACAACATGCCTCATCCACATAAAGTATTATAATATGTGGTTCTTAAAATATAAAAACAATTCGAACCACCAAAACCATTAACAGAGCAGTAGTAGAGATTGTATGTGTCTGTATTGTTACATCCATATCTGTTTTTGAAAACAAAAACCAACCAACATATATAATCTTTTTTATTTATTATTTTTAGAGTTAGATTTAAAAACTAAAATATATAGATAAATAATACATTTATTTTTTTCAATTCAAAAAATATATTTAAGTTGAAAACTCTTTTTCAACATAATATATTCAACAGAATATTTAAATTCTTTTTCAATTGAAAACACAAATAAAATATATAAACAAATTGAAAACACAAAATCTTACAAATTACTAGGGGTGCTCGGCGGTTTGGCGGTTCGGTTGCGGCCAAATAAACCTCAAATCCGCCATCCGTCCAAAACTAGGCGGATTGGAAAAAATCAATCTGCAACCGTCCACTCGTCGTCATGCATCCGTCCAAAATGCGGCGGATCGGTTCGGTTCGGTCGGTTTGGGCGGATCGGTATATCCGCTGCTCACCCCTAATCTCAGCATTCCAACTGGATAACTAATCCTATACTAACCCCATGGATTGTTAATACCCTCGCTATTAATCCTTGTTAATCAAACAAGCCCTTAGTGGATTATTAATAATAATGCCTACTTTCATATGGTATTGAATATCCCACGATTTTGTGGGATTAGAAATCCTATGTATTACTAAGCCGGCCACCATTTATGCCATCGAAACCTAGGAATGTGTATATCACTGGATTAACAATCCAATCCTATGCTCTAATACTAGAATCAAACAGGCCCATAATGAAATATATTTATGTGAATGGCAGTGTTATGTTTATATAATATATTCTCAATCAACTTGACATTCAAAAGATGGACCTATGAACTCTAAATAGAGTAGAATATGTCACGTCCCGAATTTTTATTACTCGAAAACATTACCAAAGCCTGTAATTTAGGTCCTTTTTTTTTAATACATATACAAATATCTATTACACTTGAGTAATAGAAATACAATAATACATGTTCTCTCTCTCAATAAATATTACAATGACAATCATACATGCCAATCTCCTACTGTGCTACAAATAAATAAATACAAATACAAAATCCACTTCCTTTACATCTACTATGAAGTTATACAAATGGACTCAAGAACTCCATACATCTTCAATCAAATAATCCAAACTTTCTTCTTGTAAAAAGATAAAACAACAACGGGGTGAGCACTAATGCCCAGTAGGAATCTCATAGTTCTCAATCAATAACTAACACATAGATAGAAATGATCATGCATGCAGGGTGATACCATATAGTAGAGTGATGTTTTATAATTTCAAAATATCATAAGTAGAGTACCTTTTCTCAAAAACTATTTGAACACTTTCAAGAAAAACCTTCAGCCATCAAAAAATCATCCCTTAACTTTAGAAAACCATTGATCCGTGTGAAACAAACATATTTAAGAAACAACATCATTTAAAAGTTATTAACCAATTCCCAAGACATTTCTTATTTAATTTTCCATTTTTAATACTCCTCTTTTCCTTTCATTCTTCTTTTCTATTCTTAAAACCCCATAACTTCAAGTTCAGGTTCCTTTTTGACTCGCCAACAATTCTCCTATACTCAATTCACACCGTTAACTACACCCGCAAAGTTTCATTTCAAGATAACACAATATTAATAACCCCTTTCAATCCAATCCTTTATTAAATTATAGAACAACGCTCACAATTTACTTTTATTAACACAACTACTTCATTAAGTTTACCATCATAGTCTATAATCCTCATATCTATTTTTGGTTTCCATTATTTACAAATAATGCCTATGCACGTTTCCTCTTTAAACCAAATTACACATCAATATGTAATTTCACAAGTTCATCACAAGCAACAAATAACATCATCAACTCAACACACTTCTCAACACATAGCTTAACACAATCCACCTTTTGCCGACTTACTACGACGGGATAGCGGGCACCCAATTCATAACATTTTCCACCTTTCGCCGGCTACTATACGGTGGGAAGTGAACTCCCAAAAACCATTTTCATAAAAGCCATTTTCTTTCAAAAACCAATTTTCAACTTTTTAAAACCATCTCCCACATTTGCCGGCTACCATACGGCGGGATGTAGGCACCCAAAACATTTTCGAAAACCAACCATTTTTATAATTAATTTCCATGTTCTTCTCAAAGATTTCTATTTCTCAATAAAATCTTGCAATCTCAACACATTTCAAAACTTTCAACTTTAGACAAAGGGGTGGTAAATACAACACTGGTAATCCCTCGGCTGGTGTCTGCAAGTAGGCTCAACAAGCACTACCAAACGGTCATTTTTACCGGTGCTAACCGGAAGGCTCGACACCTATCCGCGCTGCTTTCGGGTCTTTCACCCTGGACACTCAGGCCAACTTATCAAATTCATCTACACCCCCTATCCAGACTTACCACTGTATTTATCCCATACACATTTCCATATTTCTCATACAGACCATTTTCTGTCATGAATGCAAATCTCTTCGATTTAGAACCACAATGCACAATAATAAATGAAATGATATGCAAATGCAAAAATTTCCATGATTCATAACATTCCTTTTCAAGTCAACCATATACCATCAATTTCCTCATTTCACAAGTCATAGCAACATGGCCTCATCAAGGATTACACATGAAGTTTTCAAAACCATTTCTCTAACTCAATATATTTAAAAGATTACCATTCTTGCAAAACACATTATGGAATTTACACCCATTCATCTTCTATTCAAAGAAAGAAAGGAGTTTTATGAACATTTTCATGTTCACCAAAAATCTCTAAATTTCTAGGGTTTTCACCAAAAACCAAACATTTCCCATCCCCATAAAGAAACCCCATTGAATCATTCTCTTGAGTTGAATGACTAAAGAAGCCCACTAGGAATTTAATAAAATGATTTGAGATTA